AAGACCCATTTAGTTAAACGGAAACCCATTTAAGTGTGGATATGTGTGTCATTGTGGTAGTGAGTGATGATGTTTGTGCTTGTGGTGTCGACAATGGTGATATATATGGAGTATTCATGGGCATCAATCTTCAAAATTGTTTTGAGGGACCAAATGAACTTAATTTACAATAAGCATAAGCAAAAACACAAATTTCGAAAGTTAACATTTTTTGGTAAATGTTAGGTTTTGAGGGACCAAATGAACTTAATTTAAGTAAGCATGAGCAAAAACACAAATTTTGAAAGTCAACATTTTTGGTAAATGTTAGGTTTTGAGGGACCAAATGAACTTAATTTAGAGTAAGCATAAGCAAAAACATAAATTTGGAGAGTTAACATTTTTGATTTTTCACATCCATGTATATCGAGATACAAATTTGGAAAATTAAATGTTATGGAGGCTAAATTTTAAATTATAATTCATAAATTAAATGACGTGATTGTTTATAATTGAATTATTACTTAAGTGTTAATTAATGTGTTTATTTTTTATTAATGACATATTATTTGATCTGTAAATTTGATGTACCAGGCATTACCAGAATAATTAAACGGTATCCCCATTATACACTATTGGATAATGATCATTTAAGGATAGTAATTGCTGGTTTGTACTTGTTTATACCATATTTAGGGCCTCGTATTTAGATCTCGTACAAATACTCAGGGGACTTAAATGTAATTATGGGATAAAGGAAGGGGCATATATGTAATAAGTGAGGAGCCCTTATTCTATAAAAGGGCTCCTCACCCTAACAATTGGGAGAGGCCTCACTCTCACTCTCAAAGGCCATTTCTGGAGCCTTCTCAGCCCTTTCAACGCTCTCACTTCCAGAGCTCTCTCTCCCCCTCACTTCTCAGAGAAATATAATACAATCAGTGTGGACGTAGCCCAAACCTTGGGGTGAACCACGATAACTCTTGTGTCATTTACATTACATGCAGATTCACGGTCGGATTTACGTTGTACCAAGACCATCCGGTTTTGTGCATCAACATTTGGCGCCGTCTGTGGGAAACGACAAAAAACTATGTCGGTTCTTTTTAATTTTTCATCAAATCTCACCACCGTGAATCTACACAACCCAAAAACCCAGAATCTCCCTCATTGGGATTTTCCAGAAAACCTTCTTTTTCTTTCTCTTTCTCTCTCTCTCTCTCCCTCTCATGGCTAAATCTCAAAACACCCCGAGATAATGCACAACTCCCAGCCATATACCGCTGCCTCGGTTTGCTTCCACAACTTCTTGACCCCCTCTGTTTCCTCTTGCCCACCACGTCCAGCGACCTAAGCCGCTTGCATACAGATCGACATGGACCTTGGCACCCTGATCACCTTCATTCGTACAGTCTCTGACTCCTCCGTTGCGAACCCCAAACCTCTGGTTTTGCCGTCGATCCCGCCGTGTGAGCGCAAGTGGGTCAGATTCAAATCGTTGGGGGGTGGTTGTTCTTTAGATCCTGTTTTTCTTCTTGCTGCTACTTTATTAGCAGATCAGGAGGCAGCCAAGCACAAGTGGCGGAAACTCAGGGAAACAACAAGAAAATGCCCAAACAGAAGTGGGAACGCAGCAGGCTACTGGCCTTCGAAGGCGCCGCTGCTCTGCTCCCCGTCGCCGCTACCCTTGGAATCACCGCCTTCAATGCTCGCACTAAGAACAGAAATGAGGAATATCTTCAGGGCTCTAAGGCTTGGGCTAATCTATCGGCGTCCGAAATTTTGGTGCACCACCGCCATGTGGTGGCACTAGCATTTACATGGGTGCCCACAAGGATGACTGGATCATCACATTCGCCCAATTTGCAGTAGACCAGCCCAATCACAAAGAGCATGAAACACAGGGTTTGCTCCACGGAAAGCAGGCGTGTTTAGTCATTTATTCTTCAAAAACTTCATTTTTTGATCACCGGGATAGTGCACAAGACTTTGGCTGTTCGACGACTCGACAATCTCTTCGATTTTGGCATCGGAGAGGTAATCTGCTCGGCGCTTCGGGACTGGAATCTTGGTTGTGTAGTTTGAAGCATGATGTGTGGCTAAGGAACCTGCATGACTTGATTTTGGGCATCATCAATTCTCCTATACATTCACAACATACACACAGAGGCGTGAAGCTGCTGCAAAAGCTTCAAGATCCGATGGGTAGTGCAATGAAGAAGAAGAAAATGACGCTGATGATGGGATTGCTTGTGCTGGGCCCAGATGGAGATCCATTAGATCCAATTGTCTTCTGTGATGGGTGTAATCTAATGGTTCATGGAAATCCACTCGAAAAGTGCAAAGTTCAAACGGAGGGAGCACTGAGCAGATCGAGGAAATAAAAAGAAAAGAGAAAAGTGAGAAACATAAACAAAAGCAAAAGCTAAAAGAGAAAGGAAAGGATTATACTTTTGCTTTTGTCGACCACCAAAGATGCATGTTCCTATTTTTTGAAAGCCAGAGAAAAGCAAATGGGTGATGTCGGAAAGGCTGTCCAAAGCAGCTATCATTTTAGAGAAAACAAAGGCGAAAACAAATGGGAGGCACATGGGGACACTGCAAAAGCAAGGAAAAAACACCCCACCAGAATGATGTAATTTATGTTTCGTATCTTTCGGAGATATTTGTATAAACCCCATCAGAGGGTAATATATATAAACCCCATCAGAGGGTAAAAAAAAAAAAAAAAAAAAAAAAAAAAAAAAAAAAAAAAAGGAAAAGCCCAAAACAAATGGGCTGACATGTTGTGGAGGGCAAAGGCCCATAGGCTTGAAATAGCACCAACCAGGTCATCACAAGTACGCCTAGTACTCCAAATTATACATGAGCACTACTCATGTCATTCATACATAAACATTCATGAGCATCATTCATGACAATCATACATAAACATTCATGACCATCATTCATGTCAACATTCATGAGCATCACTCATGTTAACATTCATGAGCATCACTCATGACAACATCCATGAGCATCACTCATGTCAATCAACATAAACATGCATGAGCATCACTCATGTCAAATCAGCTTCAAAGATTTCATTTACAGAGCTCTAGCTTCAAAAGCTTCATTTACAAGAGCTCTAGCTTCAAAGACTTCATTTACAAAAGCTCTAGCTTTAAAAGCTTCATTTACAGAGCTCTAGCTTCAAAGCTTCACTTGCAAAGCTTCACCTACAAAGCTTCAGTGCAAGGTATACAAATATCGCCTCCGAACAACCACCACTTCGGCCCATACATGGATTCAATTTGAAGTCTCCAGCCAACAGACTCTATTTACAGAGCTCTAGCTTCAAAGCTTCACTTGCAAAGCTTCACCTACAAAGCTTCAGTGCAAGGTATACAAATATCGCCTCCGAACAACCACCACTTCGGCCCATACATGGATTCAATTTGAAGTCTCCAGCCAACAGACTCTATTGACCGAAGACTTGGGGGACTACATTATGTACCATATATTGGGCCTCAACTGGGCCTCATAAAAAATACTTGGGAGACTCTAGCCCATAACCTCAACTGGGCCTCATAAAAAATACTTGGGAGACTCTAGCCCATCACTTATGTATTGAGGAGTGAGCCCTTATTCTATAAAAGGGAATCCCTCACTTTCATTAGAGAGCACCCATTATTCATGTGCTGAGGAGTGAACCCTTATTTTATAAAAGGGACTCCCTCATCTTCATTAGAGAGAAACGCCGCCAGCTGAGCAACCGCCTCGCCGCGAGCATCAACTCTAGCCCATCATTCATGTATTGAGGAGCGAGCCCTTATTCTATAAAAGGGACTCCCTCACCTTCAACGCCACAAGTTGAGCCAACCAAGGCAACATAAGCCACAAGCCGAGCAACCTCACAACATGTGCTACTTCTGGATGAGCATCATTTCACTTTGAGCACCGCCTCATATCGGGCATCAGTTCAAGACAACGTCTAGTTACTTCGGCCCACACATGGACTGAATTTCAAGTCTCCAGCCAAAAGACTCTCTTGACTGAAGACTTAGGGGACTACTGTTTATACCATATTTAGGGCCTCGTATTTAGATCTCGTACAAATACTCAGGGGACTTAAATGTAATTATGGGATAAAGGAAGGGGCATATATGTAATAAGTGAGGAGCCCTTATTCTATAAAAGGGCTCCTCACCCTAACAATTGGGAGAGGCCTCACTCTCACTCTCAAAGGCCATTTCTGGAGCCTTCTCAGCCCTTTCAACGCTCTCACTTCCAGAGCTCTCTCTCCCCCTCACTTCTCAGAGAAATATAATACAATCAGTGTGGACGTAGCCCAAACCTTGGGGTGAACCACGATAACTCTTGTGTCATTTACATTACATGCAGATTCACGGTCGGATTTACGTTGTACCAAGACCATCCGGTTTTGTGCATCAACAGTACTTTTTGACTTTTTTTGTATATTGTTTTAATTGTAGAGATTAAAAAAATATTTGATTTTTTATTAATTTGATTTAAAAAAATAATTTCTTGCAATCATGATTTTGGAATATAATATCTATTAAGTCCAAATGAAGCAAATCATTTTTTTGATGTGGGTGCATTTACAAAAGAAATGAATTATCGCATGTAGTGTTAGTGGATAGAGTGTTTAATTTCTACTCACGCATTCTGAGTTTGAAAAAAAAAATGAAATATATAAAAAAAAATTGTTATCCTCTGAAAATCAAATTGACAACACCCTTTGATACAAGGCAACAATTTTTTAATAAATGATATTATTTAAACTAAGGGGGTGGGAGAACGGACTAAGGTTGAGCTAATAACAATGTGATTCAAATTCGCATTTAGCGATAATAGAACCTAAAACATTTCACTTACACGTGAAGAAGAATACCACTAAACCGTAGTACTAAGTGACACAATCCAACATTTCTTGTGTCATAATTCATTATTATTTTAATTTTTAATTTTTAATTTTAATACAAGATGTGGACAATTGAAGGGTCAAACCGTCATTCTGGTCCAAAGATAAACGGAGGAACCGAATTGGGCACATATGGTGTCATCCTCCTCCTCGGGCTGTTCGGCAAGATTCGGAAAAAAGAGAGAATTTTTCAGAAGCCGGCGAAGCACGAAATGGACGGCCGAGAAACGACTAAAACGTCGTCGTCCAAGGTACGAATATAATCCTCGATCCAATATTTTCACCCTCGTCAATATCTCATCTGATTTTCGTTCGTTGCCGGTGAAATTTTAAAATCGTGGTCTGTTTGGTTTCCGAGAAAACGCGGGAAAATGAAAGAAACTGAGAGGAAAATAAAAGGTTTTTTTTCTTTCATTTATATTAGTAATTTGGGAGCTGAAAGAACATAAATTTAAACTGATTCCAGCTCAATATGATTGCATTTCCAGATTAGTTTGTGCTTGAATTTTCTTTTCATCGGAACCCAGATGGAAAATCTTTAGAAATCGAGCTCGAAAAGGCTCTGCATGTCATTGGGAATTGCTCATCGGAATTGGGTTTCTGAGTTTTTGAAGAATAATTAACTGAGGAATTAGTGCTAATTGACCCAATTCACATTAATTTTTTAATGTCAGTAAAATGTTAAAATTTAGCAAAGATAGAATTATGGAACTTTTATTAAGAGGGATGGATTATCATATAAGCTTAGATCTTAAATTTTGAAACTTGTTCGAAGCATGCGTGTAATTTATGTGTTAAATGTGCTTCTTCAATTCACTGGCAAGTGATGAGCAATCTGTTGTTTTTACTGCATAAATGTTGTTGAAAGTGTTTAGCTCAGAGATTCGGTGAGATTCTTAAGAAGTTCAGTTTGGAGTAACTGTGATTATAGCACTCATGCCAGGGAGCCTTTAGCAATTAGCGTAGCATGAAAGAGGGTTGGTGTTGGAGTAACTACGATTATTGCATGATGACATGAATTATAGATGAATGCTCATATCGAGAAGCCTTAGGGCTCGTTTGGAAGTGATTTTAAATTGACTGAAAGCGCTTTTAGAGAAATGTTATTGGGTTACTAAAGTACTAAGTGCTTTCTGCAAGAAGCATCAATTATGTGCTTCTTTCAGAAAGCACTTTAAAGTGCTTTTCTAATATTACTTGCATTTTTACTGAGGATTGGTTCCAAAAACATTTTTACCAAAAGCGTTTTCAGCCATTTTAAAAGCACTTTCAAACGAGCTCTGGCATAACATTGAATTGGGGTTGGGATACATTGCGCACTTTCTATTGTGTTCTTATAATTGTATGCTATTTGGTACGTATGCTTCTTTTAGGATTTTGAATTTCATTTCAATGAGTAGTTTGATGAAATGATATTGTTGGGTTTTGCATCCAGTTGTGATTTGGATGACTAAATCTTTGAATGTGCTAAATCCATTTGGATTCTCTTGACAGAAACCAAATATAGGGACAAGTTCGATTGATGTATATGCTGCACAATGTGCAGAATGCAAGAAATGGAGAGTGATTCATTCAGAAGAAGAGTTTGAGGAAATCAGGAGCAAAATCAGTACGCAACCCTTTTATTGCAACAAGAAATCTGGTGTGACTTGTGACGATGTTGCCGATATGGAGTACAATGCTACTAGGACCTGGGTCATTGATAAGCCTGACCTTCCGAAGACCCCAGAAGGTTTCAAGAGGCACTTGGTGGTTAGAAAAGATTATTCCAAACTGGATGCGTATTATATTACACCCAAGGGGAAAAGATTGAGATCACAAAATCAGGTGGCAGCGTTTTTAAAAGAAAACCCCATGTTTGAAGGCATATCCGCTTCAGATTTCGACTTCGCAGCCCCAAAGGTAATGGAAGACACCGTTCCTGAGATTTTTGGTAAAAAGGGTTCTGATAGCAGCCGCAAAAAAATTAAAAAGAAAAAGAATGAGGATCAAAGTGCTGTTATCACTGGTAAAGAAGATGTTGAGTAGCTCATGTTGAAAGATCACCGGAGAAAATTTTGTTGCGAGGTTTTGCTTTGTGTAGAAATGATGTCTCTTGTCCGTCCTGATAGCGCGTTGAAATTTTGATACACTCCAGCCGCGCTCATGCTGGAATTCTGTTGTACTTCAGCTGCTAGGTTGCTCGGATAAATGTCTTCGGTCTATTTCTGAAAGGGATCCGAAAATGATACTCGCGGAGTTGTATTTCTTGTGTTTCCATCGTGTTTTGTTACTTTGGTACTGTTTTATGCAGGAAAATCAATCGAAATGCCCCTAGTTTTTCGATTTTTCGTGTCTTCTTTTTTGTATCAAAAGGTTCGAGTGATATGTAGTCTTTGTTTACACTTGTATTGAACTATACATTGTGTACATGTAACCACCAAGCCCTCTGCGATTAGGCGAACCTGTGCTGAAACTGAAGAACAAGCATGATCGCCGGCGTTTTCCATGGCCGGTTTCGTGTATTCGAGCAGGTGGGGGAGATGTTAGCGTAATTAACCAAAAATCTTGTTCTTGAAATACAGTTCTGTGGTTTTTTTTTCTCAAACTTGTATTGAACTATATATACAATGACTATATGACAGATCAAAATCACTCTTGAAATAATACATTGTGTACATGTAACCACTAATCCCTCTGCGATTAGGCGAATCCTGTGCTAAAAATGAAGAACAAGCATGAATGCCGGCGTTTCCGATGGCCGGAAAAAGAATTTGTGTTGCATTCCTCCAACTATAAAGGGTGTTAGTGAAGCCTAATGTCAGCAAGTTAAACCGAGAGGAGAACTAATCCGGTTTCGTGTATTCGAGCAGCATGTGTGGTGACCGGTAAATCTTCACCAGTGTCCAGTATAAGACCTCTTCAACTCCAAGCTCACCCTCTGCTCTTGCAGCATATATGTCCTCACAAATGGCTATCAACCTATACATCAAGAAAAAAACATACAGAAACCATGTCAAACAAACCGACCATGTAAGGGCATGTTTGGAAGTGCTTTTAGATAAGCAAAAGCGCTTGTAAAAGTGATTCTGGGTTATTAAAGATATCAACGTGATTCTAACAAAAACACTTCTGATAAAAGGAAGGACCAGTTTTTATGAAGTTGTGTTTACCTATCACAGGAAGGAAGGTTCTCATAGGGGATTCTCATTCGTAAGTCGGAACATTGAAGTCTGATGAAGCGGCCAACGGCAAGAACAAATGTTAAGTAGAGACCCCAAATGCTGAACTTGCTAAGGGTGTCACCAAGAATACCCTCTGAATAGCACACCCGAAAATGAAGAATAAAAGCAATTTTAGCCGAAAATATGAGTTAGTAAGCCAGAAAACGAACATAAGAAATGACACATGATGCTTTTGGTAAACTTACGTGGCGGTGTTTCCTCAGATACGATGATGGCCATCGGTCCTGTCAAACCTCCACATCCATTGATATCTGATGAATTGGTGTCACGGAAGGACCACCACTCATAATTTGCACGATTCAAAACAAGGTCCGCGTTAACAAAATTATCCTGTAAATTAATTGCAACTGCTATAAAGATTACTGCAGAAACACAACAGCAAGAAGCAGATATGTAGTACTCAAATTAGTAAGACATGTACATGCAAGAAAGGGTACCTCTAGTTCCAACGGTCTGACATCACCAGAACCAGCACGGAAGTATCTTGGATAAATGTTGTACATCCTAAAGCTGTTAATGGAGCCGTTGAGAACTTTTTGGACATCTGATTGTTTCGGAAGATCCTGAGACTCCAAACTTCTTTCATATTTCACAGTTTCCTTGCCTTTGGGCCTGTCCCTGGAAAGTACCCAAGTGAAAGATATATCCATGTTGGGATCCCAATCAAGGGACCGAATGAATCTGGTTTGAACTACATCGGGAATAAGCCACAAAGTACTAGCATCAGATTCGCAACATATCAACTGGACATCTTTCTTATTATAGGTATCCAAGTAACCTTCAGGGTCAAGATTAACATCAGAGTCAAGTTTGTCCCATTGGAGCTTTTCACAGAGGGTGGTTTGATACAGGGTCAATCTTCCACTCGCTGTCTTAATGTCAACCTGAACACTGGCATCTTTGATGGGATTTTCAATGTTCGTCGGGTTACCACTGCTGTACATCTGCGAGGAGCAAAGGAGTTTTTGATGCATGGTTCAGAAATGCAACCAACTGTTTCTTCTACTCGATAGTAAACTTATAATTAAAGCACATGTGAGGATGTCTACTTGTTTGTGTGTGCCAGATCACCTGAGCAAAACCATCTACTTTATGAACTTATGATACAAATATCATTTGGTAATCAGTATCTGTGTGGCGAATGTTACTTACCAGCATTGGAGCCCAAATAACACAAATCAATATGAAAAACAGACATATCCCGTTGCAACATTTGGTCATTTTCGTTTGCTTTTCTCCTTGTTTGTGCGTTGCTCTATTCAAGACTGCATCACATTTGACAAGGTACAAGCTTGCATGTATGTCCTCCAGCTAAACAGAAAGCCATAGTTACACTGTAAGCAATCAAATGATGGCCTGACAAAGGTATTTATAGGGAGAATAAGATAGACTAGCTTTGGTGGTTCTTACAAATCTAACCATCCCATTAATTTCAACACACAGTGTGATTCCACTCTTTTAATTTTCTGTATAAATTATTCATTTCCATCCAATGATGATAGCAATATCAATAAACGAACACAGTAATGAGAACTGACGGTACTCCAGTGATAATTTAGTGCATAGTTCTCAACACTTGAAGTTTTATGCAAGATTAAGCATGGTGGAATGTTGCAGATAGATTAAGAAACTTACTTTCAGCCAATCATACATGGTCAAAGATGTGGTTGTGCATGACCAATCAAGTGCACATCTCAGTTCATAAAGGAAAGGCAGAGCGCGATATAGTCGATATCCCAAATAATTAATTCTTGAAATCTCACTAGTCAAAAACTGCCGGTACAAAGTGCCTTTATGAGGAATTCCATGTCGGAGTTGGATAGCCTGCAGTGCTAAAGAAACTGCTTTCGCAAGAAATATAGCACGGAGTGCTAATCTTCCAGCATGGTGGGAAGGCTCCATGTTCCAAGCATACTCTGTTACTGAATATGTGAAGAGGATGAGGTTGAAAAGGTAGAAAATCACTTTTCCGGAGGCAAATGAACAGAGATAGATTATACGGTCAAGCACAATCAAGAAAAAGATAATCTGCACGAAAAATCATTTAACCTTTTAGCAATTTAGATAATATTATACATTTCAGTCTTATTAACCATAAAATCAAATAAATTCATGGACCGATAGGGAAACAGTGCAATAAATTCCTCCACCATAGTTTCGGTATAGTAAGCCAAGAACAAAAGATGAGTTATTTAACTTCAAACTTGTAACCCCATGCTTTTTGCAATAGATCTTAAAGTACTTGATTTTTCACTACTAAAGCATGACAGAAAATGATGAAAAATAACTAACCATTAAGATGAATACAAACTCTTTCGGAAACTGATCTTCAAGCTGATACACGTCAAGAAATTCGCTGTTATTTTTTCTTACGGATTGGTAGAATATGGCGACTAAAAAGAAAACAGTCAGATCGGCACCAAATACATATGCATACACATCAATGTCCCTTTTGCCTCCTCCAATTACAGAGAGTATAGGGTATGGGAATCCTATTTCTTCAACAAACCCAGCATCCTGTGCTTTAAGAATTTCCTTTGCAACATCAGCTGCTGGAGTAAGTGACTTGTACCATTCTATCGAATCACCACACTCTGTCATGGGAGAGGCATATACCACCTCAAAAACAGCCAAGGCTACATTTTCATTTTCTTGACTCCTTTCAATGCTTTGGACATGCACCCTGCTAGCGAAAGGGCAGAGATTAGGGTTTTTCTCCTTGCACCTTTCATCATGAATGATTTTAAGCAATTGATTTACTCCAGACTCAATCTTTTCTGGCTGAATCCCGTCCTCTGGCCATGAGCGCACATCCATAGACACCTGAACAAAGTAAGGAGGGGAATCTGCTCCATGTGTCAGTGAATTCCAGTACCTAAAGAAGCTTCTGATTATCGATTTAATTGCATTTTCCATTATTTGCAGAAACTTCTTTGTTTTCTGACTCCAGCTATAGCTGATAGGAATATCTTTTCCATGCAAAGCACTCCTCCTATAGAAGTCGAAGTCTGTAGACGACATCCACTCACCATCTTTTGCGGTTATAGAGCTCTGTAAGAGGGTAAATACGTAGACAAGAAAGAGAGGTAATGAACTGACCACAAAAGAAGATGTGATTTTATGTTCAGGAAATCCCCACTCGCGAAGCAAGTCTGAAGTAACACTAAAAGCCCAGTGCTGGATGATAATCTGGTACAGATACTGAAGCAAAATATAGATTTCTGTGTAAATCAGCATAACAACCCAGAAGATGTAACTTGGACGGGAATTTACACATAGTGCGTACAAGAATAAAGCCGCCAGATACACCATAGAAAGCAAACTGAAGTTCCACAAAAAGACAAGGATAAAACAACAATAACACACAATATCATTGTTGGATCGCATTTGGGACCATATGTGACGGAGGATCCTTCCTAACTGCAGACTTGTTGCATCAGAACTCGTGTCAGACTGCAGGGAAGATGAACGGTCAAAGGACACTTTAACTTTCTGGCTCTCCATCTCATCATACACCCCATCCTCAACAGAAGAGTGCTCATTGACATCAAACTCATGATCAATGTTCAAAAAGCTTACAAGGTTGTTAACTGCCTGATTTCCAATCGACTGTACCTGGGAAACACCATCACCTAGCAGAGATATTAGTGGGCTTTCCTTCCCTTTCCCTTTAACTTTGTCCTTTTCTGAAGAAGTGAAAAATACGCCATCAGCAACATCATCTTCAACTTCAGTGATCTCACTGTTCAGAGATTCTATTGAATCTCTCGCACACTCCATCCCTGTTGGATTTTCCATATTCACTGGTGCAGGAGATTCATGCAATTCACAAGGATATAATGAATCCTCTCTAAGTATCTGCTCCTTTTTCAGTTGTAATCCTTCTTTATCAGAGGTCCCCCAATCGTTGTTCAAGTTAAGAGAAATATTCCTCCTCCTTCTCAGGCCTTCACTGACAGGAGGAGAGTCACCGCAATCAGTAACCGAGTTTGTGCTGTGGAGTTGGGTTTGCAGGTTGAGCATCTCTGACTTCATTTTCTCCACTTGCAGGTTACGCTGGTGTTTCTTCTCCTCAGATTCACGAATATGTTTTAACTGTGCAGTTTTCCATGCAGCT